ATCGGGCCGATTTGCCAAACAGGCAAGGGCTGCCCGAGGCGAAGGAAGCTTCGATAAACCCCGGGATAACGATACAAGAACGAGTGTCCGCCCTAGAGCAAGAGAACAGACCGGATCTCTTCTTCTCCAGGGAGAAGGAGTCGCAAAACAAGCAGTCCAACGTGCCAGTGATCAGCGTGTCAGGCACCAGATTCGTCCCGATATTCGCCGAGCATCCAGAGTCCGTGATCTACAACCTTCTCCGATCGGTTCAGCTGCAGTCGATCAAGGCCAACCCGCCAACCACCAGTTCCACGTTCAAAACTCCGGAGTATCTCGAGTTGCTGAGCCAACAACAGGTGAACATAGTGAACATCGTGGAAATTCTGCTTCCAGAGAACGCTCGACCAGACTTTGCCAACAAACTGCTCGAGTGTCTTCGCAAGGAGACGTTCCTCGTGTGCGCCAGGGACGTGATCTGGCCGGCGATCTCGGAGTACTTCTCCTCGCTGCCGAATTTCCCGAATTTCGGGATCGTGAGCGGTACGCCAGGATCCGCTGACTCGCCTGTGACCACGTCGAGCTCTCTCTCGGAGACCGACGTGAAGACGGGGCAACACGGGGACACCACCGTCACTGTCACCGACACCAGGTTCTTCCCGATTTACAACGACCTGCCGGAAACCATCATACTGAACATCCTGAAGGCCGTTCAACTGTCCATCCCGAATTTGCCCGGCTCGCCAGCGCTGACGAGAACGCAACAATTCTTTCCGATTCTGACGGAACATCAGATCGTCATCGTGAACATCGCCGAGAGTTTGCTGCCAGCATCAACGAGGACCGAGTACATCGAGAGGATCGACTCGTGCATCAGGGAGAGGAACTTCCTGGAGTGTTCCCGAGACGTGACTTGGCCAACGATCGCCAAGTACTACCCGTGGTTGCCGAGTTTCCCAAATTTTGGCACGCTGCAGAACCTGCCTCAGGCGTCCACTTCCAACTCCATCAGGTTCCAAGTGTTTCTGTCGGAGAAACCTTCGAATCCCGAGGTGCAGGCCCCTCAAGTCGAGTCGAACAAAGAGGCAGAAGCGCTGAGAGCATCCGAGGAGAAGGTAGAGAGCGTCTTGTCGAACATCCTGGCCGAAACCCCGGAACTGGAACGATCGTACTTGAATCTGTCCGTTCCTGTCGCTTCGATCTTGAACGGACGACAGATAAACATCGTCAGACTGTCGGAGAGGGGAGTGCCAATCGCGGTTCGTCAGTCCTACGTCGCGAGGATGCTGGATTGTACGATGCTTCACAGCTTCATAGCCTGCGTGAACAACATTACCTGGCCAACTCTGAAGCAGTACAATCAATCGTTGCCCGAGTTTTCCAGTATCAGCGACCTTGAACCCGTCACCAGTAACGTTCCAAATAGTTTGCAGATCCTGAGACTCGCGCCTGTTAGCCTGGTTTCGATCAATCAAACGTCGCAGCAACTCGCAGCATCGAGCTTCCAGGCTTTGCAAAATAACTCACGTCTGGAGAGTCAGGAGAACAGATCGAAAAATCCAGCGGCCACGCTGTCTCGGCCAATTGGTGAACGCGCAGAATCGATGGAAAATTACATACGTGCAGCGGCACAGGAAAGCAAATCGAAAAACCCAACGATCACGCCGTCAGTAGGTGAATCTATCGTTGATGAGTATTCGTAGAAGCTGGCAGAACGTGAGAATTTCTAATCCTCTTTATCCTTACAGATAACAAAGCACCCGTCCCAGGATACGCAGGCCAACCGACAGGCATTCCCATAGACCTCTCCGACGAGAAGATTTACTTCCCCGAGACTCTGAAGCAGACAATAAAGTCGAGATCGTCGAGAGTCAAGAGTAGACAACGTAGAAACGCTATGGACATTCTCAATACTTACTACGACAGCGAGGAAGCGGATAGCTCCGCGTCTTCGTCGTCGTCGTCATCGGAGTCGGTGACGTTTCCAAACATCACGGAATCCGAGTACCTCCGATTGTTGATCCGAATGAGAAACAAATCGAGGCTTTCTGGCACAGGTTCTTCCAACGCGAAGCGGTATCTCGTCGACACGTTGAACTCCACGATTAGAGATTCACTGACCGCTGATCAGTACGAGATCCTGAAGGTCGTCGACGACTTGGACGATCGGCCGTCGAGCAAAGGGCTGACACAACAGGTTATACAGTGTTTTCTGAGTCTCAGTTTCATTCGATGCCTGGGCATCTTCATCTGGCCGCTTGTCGTCAACAATCTGCCCTCTTTCCCGAGTTTCGGTGTCTTGGGACGTAACCTGGACACGGAGAGTCAGTTGCAGGAGTTGTTCGGCATGTCGAGCGCCGAGTTCGAGCGGAGGTTGCTGGAGAGGAAGGAGTCGATCGAGGGCTTCTTTCTCGACTGGTACAGGAAGCTGACCGAGAACGAATTCCAGACGGATCTGGGATTCCTGAAGATCAAGGGCTACGGGAACAACGAGGTGGGGATCAGCTTCTCCGGTTTCAGGGAGGGCAGAGGCGCGAAGCTCAAGGACAACAAGAATCTCCCGAGCATACTGACGATCATAAGCGACATAATGGAGGAGGTTCTGGACCAACGTCCCGAAGCTGAGAAAACGAAGAAGGAGAAGGAGAAGAAGGAGAGGAGCATAGAAGGCTCGAGAGAGGCGGACGTCCAGTTCCTGAAGAACACCGAGGAGATGGTCGACGTTAAGAGATCCATGAACGACGACGACATTATAACGATGTTCCTCGACAAGATCAAGTCGAACGATTCCGACGTGGAGAACGACGACACGAGGTATTACACTTCGGATGACGCGTACGACGCTTTCGGAGTTCTCTTCGGCACGAAACTGCACGACAAGCTCGACACCAGCGGGATGGAGTCTCTCGGCTCTGACCTTAAAGTGGAGAACGAGGGAAGCGGCCCGGTGGAGTCGACCAAGGACGTAGACATCGTGTCTTTAGAGTCTCAGAAAGTTTCCGACGAGCTGAAGATTCCGCCGACAAACGGCCAAGTGGCGTACGATCTCGAGAAGGAGTCCTCAGGCGACCAGGAAGAGAGACAGAGAGAGAAACGCGCTAGAAACTACCTCAAGTCGTTTCTAGAAAAGTATTCGGACAGACGTTTGAAGGACCGCAGCGTAGAGAGTTTCGACAGCGTGGAGGACAACAAAATCGTCGAGGAGCGTGGAAGGGATGTGAAATCGACGTCGTTGGTCGTTCGACTGCCGCGTCTGCACGACGAGATCGTGTCGAGAAAGGTGACGAGCTCGATCGTCCATGCGGGTAAAGCTTTCAAGATGAAGATGACGCAGATGGTGCCGGGGTTTGGGCTAGTTATGTCGTTTCTCCTTCAGATAGCTCTTGCACATGCTCGCGCAGCTGCGTCGATGGCCGGTATGATCAGTAACATGGCTCTGGGAGCAGCGGTGTTCGGAATGATACGAGACTCATTCTTCGGATCGAGCAGCCATCCAAAAATTAAATACGTTTACGACAACGACAAACACGGGCCAGGAATCTCTTGGCCTACTCAGTACGAGCCTGGTTCCCCTTACTATTCATAGTAATTACGATGATGTACTTGTTGAAAAAAAAGATAGATGTCTTTTCACGCGTAGCGATTCCGTAAGAGTGAGCGTTCAGTCGCGTGGATTTCGGATGTTTGGAAACACGAAATCTGGATTTCGGGTGCGCAGACTTGCCTACGAGCGAATATTAGGGTTTTATTATATATATATATATATATATATATATATATATATATATATATATA